ATGCGGATATAGAAAGAAACGAAAACATTTCTCCTCGGTGTGGAATTTAATAACGAAGACTCGGCATGCACAATAAACGAGATGAAAGAAATTACGTTAGGGATAAATGAAATAAAACCAAATTTTATGAAATAATTTGTTACAAGAAATACAGTTGAATACTTCATAACGAGCCAAAACCACTCCATACAAATTTTACTTCTGCGTTTTGTCGTAATAACTGTATGAAGTAATACAATTATAAAATATTCATATGAAAATAATGTACCCAATTATAGATAAAACAATAGGAGGGCGTTATCTATACATTTGTATGTAAACAAAATGTTAACACAGGTCGAGTTTTAAAGACTGTTGAATAGTTTTAGAGTAAAATCACTAACTATCAAACTTGAAAAATAATGTTCAAAATTATATTTTTTAATAAAGTTATGGCCATTTAAAAAGTATATTTTTTGTCTTTGCTCCATTATTCCTTATATTTTACCACAAAATAAATATTTGTTGAGATTATGTGACACTCGTTAATATAAAATAATTATTACAAAACAAATGTGGATATTCATAGACAATGAATATTATTCATTATTAAAATTAAAAAATTTAAATTTAAATTACGATTTCATAATTTCTAAGATAGAAGAAACATACATATTTATAATTATTCCTGTTCGACCACAGACGATGAGATATTGGCTTTTTTTATTACCTACATTAAGTATACTTTTTTACTAAATTTATTTTTTATATTAAAACTAGGCGCCCAGTGCGGTGTGAGGGAAAGGTTTTTTTATTTCTAAACGCCTCATTTTAGAAAATAAAACAAGTCACATTTATGAGTACATATACATATAAAAATGTAAAGCCTTGTTTTTTTCTGTATACCTATTATATAACACGGTATTTTATTTTTATTGTAGTTAGTGCTACACTACCAGTGTGTGGTAGCCACACACTGTGATATAATACCTATATAACGACGTCACATAAGTGTAGTAGTAGGTTAATCACCCGTACGCCACTGCCGACTAGAATATAATATACGAACTTCTGTTTGCGGGGACGCATTTCCATTAGGTTTAATATCATATTTGTGTGCATTGATGTCCGAATAATTGTACTTTGTACATAAAACCCGTCATCGGGTCACGTACAGAGATCACGTGACGCATTGCACTATATTATATTATGGACCTATACAGCATATGTATATAATATTTGTCCTTATTATTGACAACAATGCGAGGCCGACGGGCGACAGAATGGATCCATAAAGGCACTAGACTAGAAACTGGCGTTAAAATATATGCTTGCTATGAGAGCAAAGAGATCATGTCGGTTTTTGGCGGAAACGAGGACCTCGACAAGGCTACAATAACTTAAGGTGTCTGTACATACGTTTCGAACTCACGGGTCATTTAATTTGTTTTTTTTTTTAATAGTTAAAGATACTCGTCATTTATTTATTATTTGTCCGTCGAAAAAAGTACCTACTCTTTTAAAAATCATATTCCAAAATACGATGTGTTGCGTTCATGCGAAATATGAAAATAATTACAAAACTACTATTTTTATATTTTATTTAGCATTTTACAACTTGTATTTTCTATCGCCTATTTTGTTTTCTAAAGCAAACAGTGTTTTTTTTTTCACGGATAGCTAGTAAATGATGCACAATGTAAATGTACTAATAACAATGAAAGTGATTGATGTTTTTTTTTTGTTTGATATAACTACCGTTGGTTTTATATTGGACACGAAGAGCCAAGGTGCAAATAAGTAAATAGTTATCCGAGATTCGAGACACGTATAAATTATGAACAAAAAACAATACTATTCTATTTAAAGTAAATTTAGTGTTATACACAATGACTCTTTATGGGAAGACATTGTACATAAAGAAAAAAAACAAATCAATATTTATATCTATAACATATACTTTGTGAGAAATTCTATACGTCGCATTGTTTTCTTTTAAAAAATGTTTCCCGTTTCGCATCCATTCATGTGGAAACGTCACTTAATTGACACATTGTTATGCAAATATGTTGGCTCATGCGCGCATATATTGAATGTATAAATAAATCGACCTAAATAAATGTAAAAAGATCAAATGATTGCAGTGTAATATTTAAAATCAAACGTATTCGACGATTTAAATTAGTCATAATTAGGTGTTGTTTTTTATAAATAAAACTTGTTCTGTACTTGTAGACATTTACTGAAAACATGGCGTTTTGCCAACACTCATATTATTGACCTATGCCAACAATTACAGGCTGTTGGCAGTCAATAAAGAAATCTATCCAATTTGTTAAATCGCGGTAAATTTATATGATTATCTTGTATCCTAAACAAATTGTAAGATGCTGTGTTAAACGCTTTATTTGTATATAGATGAATGATGATAACTATATTACAATCTGCAAAGCCAGCAAACAGCGAAGTTTATGTGGGCGGTGGGTTGAATATTTTCATTTCTTCAACAATGTCATAATTTCAAAAAATATTGATTACTTAAGGTGATAATATGTATACAAATATAAACCATACACGAGATTTTTTCAAGTTTCAAACCACTTATCATGTTTTTCAAAATATATTTTTAGCTTTGAAAAATAATAAATTCCAATAGATTTTATAACAAATAAGTATCGTAAATCATTTACATGAAATGTTTATATTATACTAAAAACTATACTCATCATTGCTGTAAGTACACGCAAATAAAAAAAAACTACAGCGAGTACATACATTTTTAACCTATAGGTCGACCAAGGTTATAACCAATATACATAATCACTTGTATATTTTCGTATTTATGATAATTTGGTTAGTCATTTTCATACGCAAATTCACGTGACACTTGACGAGACAGCGACGTCATATAGAAAAGTATTTCGTGTCGTAGCCATAACATTAAGCCTATGTAAACGTATGCTTAAATCTTAATAGATCTGCACAGTGTGGTAAGTTTATGGTGTTAACCATAAAATATTTTTTTTTATCCTTTAACGGCCACCGTTCATGGTTCACCGTTAGTTGTGTAGACATGCGTAATAAATTGTACTGCACATAAAATAATTTGAACAAAAATAGTAAAAAAAAATGAAAATTAGCATTAATAAAAAATTGTTCAGCATTTGTTTCGTACAGTTTACGGTGTGAAGATCGCAATACTGTGTTAGAAAGTAATTACTCACAAAACAAATGAAAACTAGAAGTGTTAGTTATCCAACAGATCAAACCATACATAAAAAATTACTTGACATTTAAAAAAAAACAATGGTAAAATTTTTATTTCTTTGAATCTTTGAAAAATTGCGTTATTTAAATATTAACCCATTAGACGGCCATGAATAGTTATTATATATTCATCAATTACGCTAAACAAATAGTTTAGCATTTAGTATCAAAGACATGAGTACTTACGAGTTAAGATGAAGAAGAATACCACATAACTGGCTGTACCTTTAGGTTATATTTTGCATTGTAAATAACATTAATTTAGTTTTTAATTTTTAGTAGTTTAACGAGAAACGTTATCAAAACGAATCATTTATTACTAAAACTATGCATATATTCGCTAAATATTTTTTAATATAAACCACTTGTGAATATAATATCGTCATCAATTTAAATTAGTAAGTGATCGCTTTAAAGTCTAATCAAATGTGTAGAATTTAGGTTTAAAAAAAAACACCGATACATTGATATTTAAATGCGTTAATGAATAATCAAAACAACTGAAAATATTCTTATTGTATTGTTAACTTTAGGCAAACGGCCACGATAAATATTAAAACAAAGTGTTGACGCGTAACACTGAACACATTAAGATTATTAAAAGTATTTTCGCGAGTAGAGCATTAGTAATATCGCCTGAATTACACATTGTAAAATAATAATAAAAAAAGAAGCAATACGCTAAAAGCCACCCGATTATTGTTGAATATCAGATTAAAGTGAGTGAGAAATATTACTTAAATGTGAACGTTTGTGCGGTGTACGTGGATCTTAAAATAAAGGAAAAATGAATACTTGATTTCGAGAATAATTTAAACTTTTTTTATTATAATTTCGTCCCATCCATGTTTTAATTTTGAAGTTTTTCAGCCGAGTCTGCAATCACGAAAGAGCATTTTCATGTCTCGTTGAAGTACCGAATAAATTTAGAGTAGTGGTGAATTTATAGATAATGATATAGTATATTAAGAAGCAGTAACATAAGCTAGTATATTAAAACATCAAGTTTCTGGCTTATGTTGTAGCGTTTAATATCTGGCTTAAAAAAATTCATAATAAATTCGGGACCTTAAACTATTTTGAATTTATTATTTAGTTCTAATTTGAACGTTGAACGTACAGCATATCTCTTATCTCATATCAGATAACAGTGTAACGCTTTTTTCCTTATAATTTGTTCGGTGCTAGAGTTATGTGCCAGAGCTAAGACATGAAAATGTCAAAATAAAGTCTGCTATTTTATTAATAACCCTCCCACCATTTTTTAAAATTTAAATATTAAAAACAACTAGTAGTGTTCCAGTAAAAAAAAAATATTTTGGAATTAATAAATTATTATTAAAAACCATTACGATAATACCGACAATTTTTAAATTTATACAATAAAAAAGTAGCCCCCAAAAAAACTTTTAACTCGAAAATATTTAATTATATTTTTTTAGTAGACATAAAATTTCACATGCTGAGTAATTTACTTAAAATAGTTAGTTTCATAAAAAAAAGATACTGGTTCATGAAATTAAAAAAAACTCGTATTTGTCTGTCGCTCCGTAGTTGGACTCTGCAATAAATCTGAAACGTCAGCATTCAGTTGAAGACATGCGAAAATTATCCACATGATATTCAGTATTATCAAATAGGTACATAACACGATATTTTAAATTTTGGTCACATTTGTAATATGTAAATAACATTAGGAATAGGTACTGGTCACAACCACAGCATTGCTATTTTTGTAAGTAAACAGTACAACATGAATAATATAAAACAACATTTTATTTTTAAAACAATTTGAACAATTATCCCCTATTGAACCGTTTAGAAAGTATAAAATGTACATTTTATAAAAATACGTATCTACTACATTTATAGCGTTTGACTGAATTACAGCTATCATTTAATGGTCGGTGTGTACGTAACAAATTCTTTTTTGGTCAACTGATGCACCATGGACTTGTGCTGGAGTCCCACTCCGGTTTCCTTGTTTTCCAAGTATGTTCTCAAAAACAAACGACTGTGTTCCCCGACTTCGGGGTCTTGCAAGAAATCCTCGCACTGCAAAAATGAACACGGTTGAAATCTTACTCGTTTTATACAGATCTGTTTAAGCTCTAAGTCATGCGTGACTTTAATTTGGTCAACAAAAAAACAAAAAAATAATTCGGCCCGTTGTCTTCTCGCGCTTAATTACTTTTATATAGGTCGTACGTTTAATTAGATGACATACATCAATTAACGGGTTCTATATATGGTCGGTCAATCGATTCGTTACGATCTTGTTTTACATGGCATACAATATTCGGCAACCGTGAAGTGAATTAAAAAAATAAATACAGTGCGCGTTTAATTAAACACTGCCGGAAAGATATGTACTTTAAATATTTTGATAACAGCTCCGAGGTTGTATACACTATATAGCTCGGTACAATAGTATACCGAGAGGAAACAATTCGGTCATTTTTCTTTCCTTAAAACTATTTCAAACGTCTCGGAGGACATTACATAGAATTTTATTCGTCTGCTACTTTTGCGAGTCGTCCGGGGCCGGAGGGACGAAACGGCTCTTGATATATCGACCTCGGGGACAATATACCCTTTATTTTATTCTCTTTTTTTTTTTTGTCTATACAAACGATAAACGCTTTCTCCGCTTACGGTAATAGCAACAGCCGGAGAAGATAACGAGCCGAAAGCGCGGAAAGTGTTAATTCGATAGATTAGCATCACGGGGTGCAAGGCCAACGCACCGATGGAGGTAGTGGGTTATTAAAAAAAGAGAAAAAAACGTCATAAATCTACTACAGCGACGGATTTATTAACGTTTTTTTTTTTTTTTGAAACAAAACATTTTCAAAACACCTTCATCCATTTTGCTTCGGTTATCTCACGGTCGTCGATGATTATTTGGTCGGTCAACGGTCGCAGGGCGGCGACAAAATACAAGTCGGCACAGTCGAAACTACCGCTTTGGACATGCCTGAACGCTACCAAAGAGTTAAATTCGCATTGAACGCCGGTCTCCTCCAAAACTTCTCTGACGGCCGCGTCGCCAATGTTTTCCCCTGTCAAAAACAATTCAAACCATTATTGATTATCGTTAATTAATCACGCAGATTTTAATATCATTCCCAAACGGCTTTATTATTGTAGAGTTATATACGAGTAGGCTGTACCGTGCCCATTACTTTCGAAGCATACCTAAGTAATGGCCACAGCGAAAGGGCGGTTTTAAATGTTAAACTGAAACGTCCGCGTTTATGTCAATAATATATCATACGACTTTAGCATTATATAAATAATTTGTATAAAATATTATTATAAATTATAATAAAATTACATACCAATCAAAATCACAGATACATCGATTTTTTTTTTAACTTTCATAACATTTTTAATGAACAAAGCGCTGGAAGGACTATGTGTAAGGATTTATGTACACCAACAATACGTTCATAATAAGGGAGAAAAGAAAAATATATTTTTTTTTTCGTGGAAAACCCTAAAACATGAGTTTTAAATGTCACTCAGAAACGATCTATACAGTTATATTTCGACGGCTTTCGCAAAAACCCTTAAAGGAATTATGTGATATATTTAATTTTATTGTCAGTTAAAAAAAATAATTTAAGACAAAGTCGATTTTTAATATTCTTTATAGTTTATTCATTACTCGTACTCATCGGAGTGATGATATCACAGATGATTAAAAATAGTTTTTCCTTATAAACTTATTGAATAATGGTTTAAATGTGGGAGTAAGTTGACGGGGGCGTATACCATCAAAACTGTTCAAGCTTTTCTAAAAAACAAAACCTGCAATTCAAACTAGCGTAGCCTACTATGTCTTTTATGTTTGTTAATATATCAAGGAAGGTGGTGTATACCACAATATCATTCCTACTGTATTCATATATACGGCATAAACTTAATATTTCATTCGTTGTAAATACAGGTGTTTAAAAAGTGGTAGCGCCGTAGCGGATGGAATGTGCTTAGTATTTAATATTTATACGTTATACTAGTGTTCGTTGTATAATGCCAGTTCGTGTCTTGTACACTGCAGATTGTGGTAAATAGAAGAACTAATAATTTTGTATAGCTGCTGATATTATACGGACATATAAATTGTAGGTAGGTATAGATATAAAGTTATAGCATTTCAATATCAATAAATTATTAATATTGGTCATTGGCATGTGAAATCGATACAACACTATATTATCTAACGCGTTCGCGTGCACCGAATGGGTACCATATTAAGCGGACCGTATTGAAGTGGAAATCCGGTATATTTTATTGGATAGGAAATAAACATGCGAGCAATATACAAATTACAATTATAGTAGTTCGCCAAGGCCGGAGGTACGCGTTATTTACAATAAAGAAAAAACATTATTTATGCGGTTTGTGCAGTGTGAAATAAAAAAAACCAAATAACTGCCGTTGATTATATAGCGAGATATAGTGCTGCTTTTGTGTGCGCTTTTCTCGTCGCGCCCTTAGGTCTGGAAAATTATAGAAAACACAGCTGGTGGCATATTATTTCGACAGACCGACGATGGCAGTCGCGGTTCAATCAAAATCTCGCCGATATCGCTTCGTCTGTGCAATACTAACAGCTAATAAACGCTTTCAAACGACATGATCGACCAATTAACGACCGAAACCCGGAATTATTGACCCAAATTCCATGGTTCTTTTAATTGTTCCACTCTCAGGTAAGGGTTTAACGGCAATTAATTAAATAGTAAGTACACGGTTGAATACCGTCGTTTTCTGCGAACCAAAGTTAAATAATTACCCGGACCGTGTTATGCAAACAAAAAAAAAATCAATATTATTGCGGAATTTATTAAGCTCACCAGGTTCTATGTAGCCGCCCGGTAATTTCCACAGAGGCAAACCGTGGTCTTTGACTACTAGCAGACTGTCGTTGCGAAGCACTAATCCTCCGGCACCCGTGTAAGTGTGTGGGGCACATACTCCAACGCCTTCGATCCCGTTTGCTTTCAGCCTTTTGTACATCCAAAGCTCGTTCCCATCCGGCGAAGTTCGATGAAATCGGAAATCGTTCTGCAAACGTTGGAAGAACAATCAAAGCACGTCATATTATTCCTGTTATATTATATAAATGTCACACACACGCGCCGGCGACAGAAAATCCACATAAAGCCGATCAAAACATCAAGAAGCCTTTGGCACGGGACTCTGTATTATGTTATACATAAGGAAAAGAAAAGCGAGAGAGAGAAAGAGATAAAGAGCACTAAGCACATGTCAAAACACAAAACCCGTCGAGTGTACTATACGAAATTACAGCGCTATTACTTTTTCCCGTGTATTTTGACATATTTAATAAGATATCGGCTACATTCGTGCGTGAGTGTATTATACTCCTTTATAGGGAAAAATTGTAAGAAAACCATGGATAAAACACTGCCGTTGTATGGATATAGTGTTTGGGAATAGAAAAAAAATGTTTTTCTACGAAGAGAAAATACTGTATCGTAGCGAAAATCATAAAATACAACCGACACGTTTTTAACGACATTTAAAAATCAAACCGTTTATTTTTCTTTTAAAGGCAGACAATACCGTACAATTTGATATGAAATCGTACATAATTATTTTAAGTCCAAGCGTTCCCTAGGGTTTTTATTCAGTCTTTAAATATAATACCTATGTATGTTGATAATAATCCGAAAAAATATTATACCTCCGCATATTTGTTTTTATAATACTATGCTTAAAAAACAATATTTAATCGTTGTTATACAGAAAAAAACGTACGTATAAATTGTTGCATTTTTATAATAATGGGATTGAAAGCGCACGTTTTATTTGACGTTTTACTACTAACCTGACAAAATTACGCCTATACACTTAGGATGGTCGTCCAGTTCAACACAGTTATTTGAGTTTATTATTGGTCTCTTTACTAGGTTATTAGGCAAATCGATTTTTGTTTTTTAATTAATATTGTGTTTAAATCTTATTTAAATTTCTCAAATTTTTAGTATTCTTATTATTGTTTTTTTTTTAAGTAAACGGAAACAGTTATTCAAAAATCGACTTCTACAATAACCTGGGAAAGAGTTCGATGAGCTTAAATATTTGTATAGAACTAAAATTTGACAATTTTAAGTAGGCGTGATTTTGTCAGGTTTTAGGTCTAAATTGGATTCTTGTAAGAACAAAATTGCTTTTACTCGTAGAAAAAATTGTATACGTTAAAAATTATACTCTAAACCTTAAAGGAAATTAACCTGAACATACATTCGGTCGAAATTAATTAAACCACTTTTTTCATAAAAATTGCCTACATAAAAACCGCCCGCTTTCAATCCCCGAACGGAATCCGACGAACGGGATTAATATAGTATCATTATAAAGAGAGGTAACGTTTAAATTTGTTTGATATTTCTTCCCGTAATTCCTTTGTAGTAACAAAACGTTATGCATGTTGCTTATTGCATATAGGTACAACGTTGTATAATACAAATAATATGATTTGAGCATGTCGTTTCGAGAGGAATAACAAAAAATCCGTACACTTTTTTTACGGAAATGCCCTTCCGTTTTGCACCGACTGTGAGGGATACTCTGGGTCGGGGCGTATGTACTAACCGGCGAGCGTTTTTTTTTCAAAGTCTTTTCCTCACGTCATCATGGTTGTACTTACCCGGGCCAATTCGGGGATCCAATGCGCATGCCGGCGATCCACCCGGAACCACGCTAAGTGCACCTGTTCGTCCTCCGACCATTTAATTAGAGACCCTGCGGAAAATAATGTTTTTTTGAAAACGTGTTAAACAACTTATATATAATATATTTCCCGAGAAGCTCGATCCAGGGTCCCATATGGCTGCAACGACGCCCTTGGTATTTATTATTACACGCGGTAGGTATCGGAGGAGGCGCGAGAAGAGGGAGTTACCCGAACGGCTTAGTGTTAAAAACAAAAAAAAAAGCCTCCTCCAGCAACAACAACAACAACCGAATCGAAGGGGGTGAAGTTCAATTTCGGGGGCTGTGCTCGAGGGTGAAGCGTGAGGGGAGGTGGTGGATTAATGCGGAATCCCCGGGGGCAAACGCGCATACTCTCTCACGCTGCTCTGATGCAAGGGGAATAAATCACAGATTAACTTGACGGTTCGCATTCAAATTTATGTCGATGGATCGCCCAGTCGCGACCGACACTGCGAATAAATATACCTACACATAAAAAATTTGTTATTAATCCGTCCGGCGGTATTAGCCGGTATTTTGCGAAAAAAAAACTCATATTTTATTCGCCATAAACGTTTACCGATTAAAACAATAACAATAATAATATATAGATGATAATTTTTCATAAAATAATATATAGGTACCAGCGTCGATAATAACTATTAATATTATATAAATTACCTCTATGTTTCCACTATAGATAAATCGCTACGAAGGATTTTAAAAATATTAATTTATATGCATTTATTTATATATTTTTATAGTTAATACACTTCGAATGGATTATATGTACATGTTTTTAAAGTGAGTTTTTTAAATTTGACTAACTAATCGTAGATATCGAGACTTCCACAGAACGGTGGAAATGACAAAACGAATACCGTTTACATTACCAAAACAACGGGGAAACAATTTAAGATTTATATTATTAAGTACGAGTATGAAGTCACAGTGTTTATGTAACTCAGCTCCGTACTGACCTAATTGCGGTAGTTAGTAATTCATAATTTATACTTGTAAGACTTAAGTGATTAAAAGCCATTTAATGACTTAAATAAACGACACTCATTGCAATTGTTACGATGCAAAAACATGTTTTTAGTTTGTCTTAATTCAAAATATTTGCTTATGTTACATTTTAATTAGTTTAATAGTATAAATAGTTGAAAAAATTAAAATATTAAAATAAAACGAATTAGTAATACCCTTGTAAAATTGTATTTATAAGCGGAATTATTCAAGAAGGTACAAATAAATAAAGCATTGTATTAAAACCGTGGGTGTTGAATGAGTTCCGGTTAAAATTTACATTTCTTTAGCCATAGGCATATTATGATGCGATGGAGATTATGTCCCTTACACGATTTGTGATCATATAGACTTGAATAGGAATTCCCCCTGCCCTCGTCCGCTTTCTCAAACCTACCCTAAATTTGTCTATGCATCTATAAGCCATACGAGTTCAACAAGCGTATAAGTATATACCAAATTAAATTTTATATTTGGTGTACATACTTTATATAGACTATCTGACAATGGTTGATAATTTTAAATACCGGAATATTATTATGTTATGTTATTTTCGGTTGTTGCCATACCACATTATATTCTTTGAGACAAAAAAATGTTAAGCATAACTTTTTACATTGCTTCAATAATAAGTACCTACCATTTAAACTATTTTTAATTTCATCTCAAACTTATTTGTAAATAAATAATAATAACAGATTTTTTTATGAATGTTTTTCATTTTAACTTTTATTATATAATACCAAAAAACGGCTTCACGCAAATAACTAAATATAAATGATGAAACATTTTTTTTAATGAGATTTTGGCTTTAAATAAGAACAACTATATTTATTATTTATGTTTTCCCAGGTTTCGCAGATAATATTTTTCTTTTTTACTGATTAAATACTTAACAAGTATGAAGTAATATAAGTCATTGCTTCCAACAAAAGAAAACAGTAATTTTACCTTCTGCCTTCACTTCTCTACGTCAACAATATTTGAAATATTAATGTAATAAAATCAGAAGAGATTTTCGATTGCAATTCAGAGAGTAGGAATAACTAGCACATGGGTTTTCTAATATTTTTACTTGCCGTGTCAACCAAAATCTAAAGCACTATACGAGAAAAATAAATAAAAGTACACATGTATGCGAGGTTTTATATGCGAGCAGAGTAGTAGCATGTTCCCTTGTAGAATAAAAGCTACATAAAAGATTATACGTTAAAACCACTTTATTAACTTTATAAATATTTTATTTATAATAATTGTTTAGATATCTACAACATTTTTAAATTCAGCGACGTGTAGACATTCTTCGGAAGACGTGTATTCAATAAACGAGTTGACGGTGAACTCAATGTCAAACCAACCTTCTTTAGTGATTTGAATAAACAATTCAATTTGTTCAACTACCGATGCGTGAAACATATCAGAGCCTATTGCATTATTATTATTGTTTTTAATTGAAAAAATGGATAAAGTGATTGGCGAAATTGTTGATTGTGACAAGATGGATGTAATTTTACTCTCTATCTCTTTGACACTTTCCGTTTTCTGATGGATATAACTGTTTATAAGGTTCACGGTGTCGTCTCTCGGTTTACAGATGACGTTTTTTATGAGTTGGTCCGAGGTTCACGAATTCAGCTATAAATTGCTTTTTGCGTTTTATTAAGTAACCAGCATTGGACGACGCCAATAAGAAATGTCTACTCTAAAATGTAATGCTACGTGTTTTGATGTTTCTGTGAAATTTTTTTGAAAAATGATAATAAACTTAGCCTGGTTGCTAGTGTCACGTCTAATGCCATATCGATGTTGTATACATGGCTTAGCCTGTTTTCGATAATTTCCCAAAATTCAGTGCCAATGCTACGTACACTATTGTTTGTTTTCCAGGTAAGCCGCTTAGGCTTAATGTTCTCATAGATCTTTGTTGTTGGCCACTAGTAAGTATACCCAAACTACTGTTTGCCCTCTTTTGTTCATCAAACATCACCTTATTATTCACAATCAACCCTATAAGGCTTTTCAATTTATCTGCGCTGTTTGTTGTTTGAAGGATCTGTTCAGTTAATTCTTTAACGCCACCTTCAATGCTGTGGAATTTATACTCATACGACTTCAAAAATCGAGTACGGCGTTAACGGCCTGATGAACGGTAAACATGGTTGCATGGTTTTTGCTATCGACTTTGTCCGATTTTTTGGGTAAATCTAAGAACCTGTGCAGTCTATCCGCGTACAACCAGAATGTCCACGTGGTGTTCGTAACACCATTTAGTGTTGTATCATGTATTTAATTCAGTCTTTATTTTAACCTTAAGATATCATAAATTTTATTTACTCTGTAACATTTATAGTATCTGCTTACAAAATCAAAAGGTTGTAATTTTAATAGTTATTGATGTCATTAGGCGCTTTATATGAATTTTTAAGGCCTTCGCAACCGATTTTCCTAAAAAGACAACAAACAGAAATTGCATAATTTTACGATTTTAAACGGAGTGGGAACGTACACAAAAACATGTGTGTAATAGCATTTATGTTTTAACAATTAAATTAACTTAATAAAACGTCGTGTAAACCAATCGTACAACAACCATTGGATAATTAAATCTTAAGACATACACCTTATTTACAACTTGATCGTAGGTGTAATTATTGTTTCTTAACGCAACAAGCTTGTAGTTTTTATAATTGCATTGCGAAAAGACGGCGCTCGACGTCGCGACGTTTAAACAATGAAAGTAATAGGTGGGTAATAACAAGTCGGAGGGACAAATTGTTAAATAAATATAAAAACTTCTTTTTAATTAATTTGAATACTATTTCATAACATAATAATAACAATTAATAAAGGTGTTCGTAAATTATTGCGACAATCGTCGCCATAAAATGTTAATGTTTTATTTCAACCGGGAGGTGTTTAAAACGCTCTCCTCTAATTGTTAAATATTAATTGTCTATACTATACCAATAGTACTATAAGAACTCAATTTGCTATGTACTGTTCAAAAGTAAGGAGCATATATATTAACTCACAAAAGCTTACTCAGCTATAAACGTTTCTGTGGAATTAAGCGTTAAAATTGATACTTTTTATTGTATAGGTATACTATACACCACGTACAAAAAAAGATTGCTGCGTTTACTAGAATATAACTTTAAAAAAAGATAAAATATATATTATCGCTTTTATTTCGAAATCCCTATCACGAGTACGAGAAAAAAAACGACTCATTTCCAAGAGCAAGTTAACCAAATTGCCCTACTCGACGTTGTTAGGCAATCATTAGTTACGTCAACTAATTTAATTACCTTGTAGAAAATATCGCAAAGGAAAAAAACAATTTTTTATCACTCTAGAAGCACACGAGTTGTGTTTTTGACAGTTAACATTTTCTCGATACCCACTGACGGAAAACGGGTTTTCAGTGGAAAATTGCCGTGACAAAAAACCTTTTAAACTCTACGAGTTTTTTGGGCATCAAAAATCACTACTCTGTTCGTAAACCTCTTCTTAACGTCAAAAACATAACCATAAAAACACCCTTATATTATCGTTATTATTTTTTCTATCTTTTAAATAAAGTTAGTCATGTTAATAAAGAAATGGTCAACGGTCCGTAAAAACAAAACCCCCGACTTGGCTCAAATAATACCTAATGTATTATTCAAACGATTCGTTATATCAACAATCATTTAGATAAAAACGTCCGATTTTTTTTTTTATAAAACCGTTTGTTATACTTAAGTTTCTAAAGTTCGATATTTTATGAAATAAAAACACAGCAGATTTCAGAGACACGAGGCACGTATTTGCCGAAAAAACACTCGACAAGGGTGGATAAAAGTATTTTATATATATATATATATATATATATTTACCAGTTTTTAACCTCTACTTTCCTTCCCTAAGTTTTGTTTGCTCCAAAAAATGGCGACAAAAATGTCCGTTGAGAAAACGCAGTATAACGGGAAAAAATGCGTTTTCATTAATAAAATCATTTTTCTGCCGGACGGATTCTG